CCCCGTTTATTTCTAGATTAACGATATTTACCCTGCTACTGTCTATATCATCAGCTGGATAAAGCCTCGCCGGATAAACTTATCTATCTCCAGTCATTACGTCACATGATGACGTCACAAGTTTAGCAGCAAAACAAAACTGCATATAGATGTTTTTTATTGCGGAAAAAGAAGAATGAAACCATTTAATGATTTTAAAAACATGATTAAAAGCAGGATAAAGCTCGCCAAGATACAATTTCTAGCTCACCGGATAAACCATCTCCATCCCGACATCAACCATGTATTCTCTATTTATGCTAGTATGAAAGGCATTCATTCTCAGGTGGAAATGTTATAGATTGAAGAATGGTGCATTTTACACTGGCAAAGTCATATGAGGTATATAATAAATGAATATAATAATAATAATGAATAAATAATGAGGGAATGAATGAATAAATATAATAAATATACAAATGAAACAAACTTTCGTTAACATTTTATGTTTTGAATGCTATCAAAACTGATTAATTAATGAAGAAACTCTACAATATTGAAGGAATTAGTGAATGAATGAATAAATATAATAAATATACAAATGAAACAAACTTTCGTTAACATTTTATGTTTTGAATGCTATCAAAACTGATTAATTAATGAAGAAACTCTACAATATTGAAGGAATTAGTGAATGAATGAATAAATATAATAAATATACAAATGAAACAAACTTTCGTTAACATTTTATGTTTTGAATGCTATCAAAACTGATTAATTAATGAAGAAATCTACAATATTGAAGGAATTAGTGAATGAATGAATAAATATAATAAATATACAAATGAAACAAACTTTCGTTAACATTTTATGTTTTGAATGCTATCAAAACTGATTAATTAATGAAGAAACTCTACAATATTGAAGGAATTAGTGAATGAATGAATAAATATAATAAATATACAAATGAAACAAACTTTCGTTAACATTTTATGTTTTGAATGCTATCAAAACTGATTAATTAATGAAGAAACTCTACAATATTGAAGGAATTAGTGAATGAATGAATAAATATAATAAATATACAAATGAAACAAACTTTCGTTAACATTTTATGTTTTGAATGCTATCAAAACTGATTAATTCATAAAGAAACTCTACAATATTGAAGGAATTATATCAGACGAGCCTTGATTGGTCAGAGGCAGATCGCTATCAGGACATTTGTACGTACTAATTAACAATAATAGTTATTTTATCTTGATCATAGATGAAGATAAGTGCGCTTATAACATATAGCAAGAGTTATAATTAGCAATGATAGATAAAATGACTACATAAACAAAAGTTTTCTTAATGACTTGTGTTGTTAATTGATAAAACAACCATGTTGATCTGAAATCTTATGAATGAAGGTATGTGTTTCTTGTCATTCATAGATGAATCATATCTGTATATTGTGCATAATCAATTAATATCTTATGTGAATCAGAATGTATTATTCTCTTCCAAGTCAATATGCATATTCTTTTCAGTCAATAACTTCAAACAGTTAAGAAATGATGAACGTATGTCAAGTATTTTCTTCCCATATTCTGCCCATTCATAAAAGCCAGGTCAGAATCTTATTCCATGTTTGCTTCTATAATTTCTCATTAGTTCAGTTTATTCCTTTTGATAGAAAAGTTCATCATAAACGCATTGTTTATTTTAGGGAAGATGCAATATGTTAATAAAGAAAGTATGGATAAAAGTGACATTATGCCCATCCAAGGTTTTATAGTGAGTAAATAGGTGAAAGTTAAAAAGGATTTGACAACATTCTATCAATTATATAATATACTTCGCATAAATGATTAATACTCACGTGGCCAAATGTAGGAAATTTCTGTATGTATCCATCGGAATTTAGCAGTAACGTTGAATTAAAAAAAAGTGTGGGGTTGTCTTTTTTATATTTTAGACATATTCATTTTTTTATCCTTAACATTTTCCAAAATAAATGTTCTATCAATCACAATTTTAACAGTCAATCTTTTGAAAAATGGGTCAATTCAGCAGTACGTAACAATGAAAAAATACGTACAATGCCACTTGAATATTTTGCGAGAGGAAACGAAGCTCATTTTATTTTTAGATGACTTTATAATTTTGATGGTCTCGCTACGAAATAATATTTATTATTTATATGTTAAGCATGTTTCCTCGTAGTGACCTTTCAAATGAATCTACGTCTGAAACCCATCTCCCGATTGATGTAATGTGACATGAATAAGACATTCTATCAATGAATAAGACATTCTATCAATAGATAAGTCATGTCTATTGAGTGCTGATTCTTTGAATGAAACAAAGTTACTGATTTACAAAATCACAAGAATCTGACTCGTAGAAAAGTCGATATTTAATCATAACGAAAAATTGATAAAGCCGGCTACAAACATAAAAAAAAACATGCGCGTAAAGTGCAAGAAATATATTGCAAGACATTTTCATTTTTAAGATTAAAGTATATTTACTTGTTGTAAAACGAGACTTTCATACATGTATCTCATCAAACAATTCTTGTATCAATAAGTTTTAATTGTTAAATAAAGTGAATAAGTAATTGTATGTGTATATTGCATACTTAATAATAAGTTCTGAGTTAAAAATTGTTTTTACTAAGGATATACAATAAATGTGTGTGAAAATTGACGAAAATCCACAAAATAGAAATATTATCACTATTTAAAAACAACTTGTAAATCACAATAAGAGTGGGAACAAAAAGAAAAAGAGAAGGAAACCTTAAAAAAATTTATAAGCAAAACTTTTCATAAGCTAACTCAGTTTAACTACGTTTGTATTAATTTGCTCGAAGTGTTTGCTCGATTCTAGAATAATTAAATGATAGGAAAAAATGGGATGTCCAGAACAGAACCATGCCAATTATAAAAGTAATTATAATGACGAAAGTTAAATATTAAGAATCGATTTAACATTACCAAGCTGTAAAATATCATACAAAATCTACAAATCATTGAATAATTTTACATCTTTGTAAAAAATATCATCTTTATATAATAACTTTTCAAACACATTCTTCGATTAAAGTCACGCTTTTGTAGACACAAAATTCGAGTTGAAAAGAGATGAATGCATACTTCTAGCAAGAGTGATTGCAGATCCGACAATATGAAGCATCTATTCAAGAATCAATAACAATACGTCATTTATCAAGTTAATTTGTTTATTCTGATATTCAAATCAAGAGGGAAATGATTAAAAAATGTTTTATTCCATGCCTCTGCTTTCTAAAAGTAAGGCAAATGATCTATAAATTTTATACAGAAGTAGAGAACGCTTTATGTGCAATTATTCTTTTTTTATGATCAATAGGAAATATGATCAAACGATATTTGTTCTTGTATGACAGAATATAAAAACGTCTCGATTTCAATAAAATACAAAATGTACTTTGTTACGATAGGGAGTTAAAACAGTTCGCGTTTTAATTTGTTAGTTACGATATGATGAGGGCATGTCAAGGCAAAGCATGCAACGGAAGCCTTCTTGCATTATCCTATAGTTGGTAGTCATTTTACACTAGAACTGCTATAACTGAGATAAATATTTAGTTGTCTTGCTCAAACAGTCAGACTTGTCATTTGTAATTGACATTTGAATATTATTAATCAAATGTTGTTGAGTTTGTTGACGGCTGTTTACTGTGATCATTGAGAAATCAATCAAATTTGCCAGAGAGAATGACAGTATAGTTTATATGTGAAGGATCGTGAAATAGTATATTAAATTGTATCTATCTTTTTGTAAATCTTAAATAACTAATATAAATAACCTTTTTGCGTAAAAAAAACTAAAAAAATAATAATCGTTTCGTGCTATAACTGACTAAACTTCGGCAAAAAATATTTCTAGAAGTTGTTCATTTCATAGTTAATTCCAAGGTGTTCATTACATATTGTACTAAATTTAATCATTTAAACGATTGCGTGCCGTTCTGGTTTTATAGATGCTATTTCTTTGGGTTGTTTCGTTATTATAAGTCTCTAGGAAAAGAATAAACAAATAAAATCAATCTTAATAATTTACCAGATTTAAAAAAAGTTGTCAGATGAGTTTCAAAAATGTTTGATAATGAAATTAGAGAATTATAATATTTCCGAAATGTATAACTTTGAAAAGTGACGCAATGAAATATTAAGATAGTAAGTGTCCCAAATTCTTCTAATAATATTTCTCATTTATGATTATTTTAAACTAATGTTTCCTTTAAATTAGCTATTAAATCGAAGTTTGAAAAAGTCGAACATACGAGTTTAGTAAAATTACAAAAAACCAAGATAAATATGTTTTTCGTCATCATTGGCTTAGGAAAAAGTGCAAATAATTCAAACATTGCCATTTTTTATTATTTTTTTTGCAGTATCTTTTTAATATGATTATTTATTTGACTTTAGAAGGTAGACCTTGTTCTTAACTCTTAGTACTTACAAAAACAAATCAACTAGGCAGACCAGTTACGCAACAGTTAATATAGATATGTTTAAACTAATTGACAGCATGTTTTCCCATTGTTTAATTAAGATTTTATATAAACATAAGAATCTTATTCTGTTTAACCTAAAACAATGGTCCAACTATATTGATATGGAAATGATATATACCTGTATTGTTAGCTAATGGTTAGAAATAGTTATGATTACGTAAATTATCTTTTCCATCTATTGTTCGTAAATTACACAAAAATTAGTTGATTTTCTCTCTGGTTTATTTTTCCCTGTTTCTGCTTAATGCACAAGAAAAATAATAAACAGCCACTGGTTGTCTTAACTTATACCAAATTCATAATTCTGAAGAAAAATAGGGTAAAATACCGCTTATTGCTTCCATTTAATTCATACGATTATCATCTTTCATATTCTGTTCAATAAATTTATCTCTAAAATAAGATCAAATCGTTTCAGAAATAAAATGATTTGCTTCGTTTCATAAAATAAACACCGGAACATCCCTACCTTTAATTAATATTCCCACTTGTAACAGAAAGAAAAACGTTAATCCGTAAAGTAATTCTCTCCCATCAAATTATCTATCACTCTTGCGAATACTCAATTAAATTTGGCCCTACTCTAGCTAGTCATGATTGTAACGTTCAACCATGTCATTCCAGAGAGCATATCAATCAGTGTCCAGCACTTATTGTCCAATCAGTAGAAACTACGAGAATGCCGTAAGCAGTTATATCTACGAGGCAGCCAATACTTGTTACTGTACGAGCTACTTTCATCAAACGATAGCATGTATCAATATGTAAGTTATGTAAAGTCTACACAAAACAATTCCGATACCATAATGTTCGTTAAACTGAGAAAATCAAATAAAAGTAAACGCCACATGAAAAACATTTATAGGATTTTATCATTTTAGAAGAAACCAAAAACCGGGTAGCATTTTATTTCATTTCGATTATTAAAAAAGTGAAAAAGCTATATACCTGATAGATGCATGGTTACGATATAAAATATTGACAAAAGGTGGCAATGCAGTTTTTTCAACTGTAGTCATGGACTGATACCATGTATAAAATATTGGATTTTGTGAAACATATAAAAATGATAAAAGGAAAAATAATAAAAGATATCAAAGTTTGGAAGTTCGAATAAATTACGACCATACTGTAAATGTAATGCAATCATTAATGATACTTGTACGATGGTTATTATATAAACGCACATTATATCTCAGAAAAACTTTTTTTCTTCCTTTTTCTTCTTTAGACTGGATATCATGAGTTTTATAACGTTTAAATAAGGGTTTTAGAGCATGTAAGGTGTTTACTACCTGAAGAAAGTAACACTTAATGTGACATTTTTGTCATAGAAATTGCAAAATTTAAACAATGTAGTATTTTGCCTTCCATACGAAATGCTAAATTTATGTAATTAAACTAATTGTCAGAAAACAAGAGAAGCAAAAAATGGTTCAGGTAATTTGGTAGTGGTTTACTTTTTGAAAACTATATCATATTACCAAATAAAAGCAAGCTTTTGAGAAATAAAAATAAAGGCATATGTGGGACATAATTAGCCTTTAAACAATAATGATTCTATTTTATTTTATGCAAATGTATTTGCGTCACATTTTCATCATTGAAATATTTCTTTTTTGAATACATGTAAAAATATGCAATGATTGACTGCATTTTACAACATTTCGATGGAACAATTGCTTCAAAAAATGTGTTCTATAATGATTTATAAGAGGGTTTAATTTTTAAAGACATTGACGTCAGAGAAAATACTTACCGTGCAGTGTTCATTTTTTGTTGCACCATTGACCGAGGTAAATCAATTTCCAAATTAATACAGAGGTGCGGTATCTATTGGGTTGATCTCATTAAATTACAAATGCATATTTCATGCATTTAATCACACTTTTATTCATCAATCTATGAAGTATATATATCCATTCTTGCTGACTATTCAGCATTTCTGATACAATTTGCAGAAACACTGTTGATTTATATATCTAATTTTGAATCTAATCGATCAAACGTGCGTCATTTGTTCATAATTAAATTATATTTTCATTAAAATTTGTTTGATAACGATTCAACACTTTACTAATTAACAATGCTGATAAATTTCCCTACAGTCAAGCAGTTGATTAAGGGGAAAAACTTCATTTTTGGAACAGTATGTTGGCGTAATACTACGATGTGGGAATTCGCATTTATGTTCTTTAATTGAAATGAAGTTTAATCAAGTAATAAATACATTTTGTATGGTTCTGGGAAAGGCGGAAAGTGAAGTGCCTGAAATAGCAAAAGTTACTTAAAAATTAAAATGAATGTAGTAGATACTTTCTATTGTTGTTTATGTATGATACTCTTGCTGTCCTACCTACCTTTGAGCCTTGAATGTCATGTGACTCCCTGTTAAACTAATTGTAAAACCGCTACAACAGAGGTATGGAAGCCACAATGACAATGTAATTTACAAATTTAACAAAATATGGAATAAACCTTGCCTGTATTTTGTATAAACCGGTACTAAATAAAACATAATAAATGAACTCATATGAGATTTTTTTTGTGATGATAATTCTGCAAATTTGTCCTTTTAACTAACTAATTGTTTTTTTTTTATAACGGTCTCTAATAAGTTTCATGAATTAGTTCGTTACACTAAATTTCTAGTTGAAGAAATTATATATATATATTTGTCTATTAATTCCATGTTTATTGATTTAAGGAAAGATGTAAGGTTACATTGATTACCTATTTCGACTTAATGACTTCAGCACTTGATCATATGAAAAATCAAATAAATTTGTTCAGTAAAAATATAATTCAAATTAATGCTGCGAGCTGGAGAATTTATGAACGAATTGGCATATAAAAAGCACGATTTTGGCGGTAATATTTACTTGGCTCTTTACAGTTAAACATGATATATGGTATTTCATTCACAAATTTCTATGAAATAATTGGTTAAAAAACACCAAAACAACACATTTTTTTTTTTTTTTTTTTTTTAAAATCTTTACTAGTTTCGACTGTTGTCTTCCTTTTTTTTAAAAATCTCTACTAGTTTCGACTGTTGTCTTCATCAGAATAACGTACAAAGTATTTGACGTCACGTCCGTTAGGACGCCAACGTAAACGTGACAAATTTGCACAAAAAACGTGAATGTAAAGTTATAAACAAATAGATATGGATCAAAAAGATACAGCGGGTATTAATAATAGAACTATATTTCTACAATATAAAGCAGAGAAAAACGATAAAACCCAACATACCTATATGTCAAAATATATCATATAATTTTATATATACATTCACTGGGAATTAGCGAGAAAGCATTACTTTAATTAGCCAGCAAGTTATCTAGAATAATAAAAAAAGATAATAATAATAATATAATAATAACAACAACATTATCCATTACATATAATCATCATCATTACCACCAACACAAATAATAATAATAATAACAACAACACCAATAATAATAATAATAATAATAATAATAATAAATAAAAAGAATAAATGAATAAGTGAATTTGTAAAACTAATTTGTAAAATAAAATCATAAAATAGAAGGGGGAAAATTATTTTTTCAAAAATAAAGGGAGGTAATAAAAACAGCAAAAAGTACAAGAATAAACAATTTGCATACAATAATGAAATATTTTATGAAAAAAATGATATAAATAAGTAAAAATAATGAAGAAAAGTGTAAAATAATAATAAGACAAAACATTAAAAATGCATGGAGAAAGTTTTAAAACAGTTGCTATATATTATAATTGCCAACTAAAATTTACAATGTGAACAATACACTGGCGTTCAAATTGAATAATGTATATTCACATTCATTCCCAGTGAATGTGTATATATAAAATTATATGATATATTTTGACATATAGGTATGTTGGGTTTTATCGTTTTTCTCTGCTTTATATTGTAGAAATATAAAATAATTGAAAATACATAAAATTAAATAAAACATATACTAGATATGTCATGGATGACCAGTTTAGTTAAACATATATGTCTTAAAGTGACATCATGTCAATCCAAGTGCAAACGGTGAGGGTAATGGTAATAGTCAAAATATTTTTACATTTTGCCATTCTTGTTTATAATTTTTTATGTTACAATACAAAAGTAATCAATAACCCCGCGTGACCCACGGAAATTCCTATAAATATCATTCGAAATGTCTCTGATTTAACGAAAAGAAATAATGCAAGATAGGGAACCGACTAATTGATATCCTCAAGGGACGCACTGAAGGAAATCAATTAACGTACTATTCGCTGTTGTATAAGTAATAGAAAGAGCACCGAAACACGAGGCTATCTGATTTGTACGAGGGGGCGTAGCCCCCGAGTATTAATCAGATTGCCGAGTGTTTTGGTGTTCTTTCTCTTTTGTATCATAGTCAAACATAAAAGCACGTTCCCTGTTGTCACAATATGAAACCCCGGCAAAAATGAACCAATGAACGAACATCTGAATATGACATTTCTGTCGCTTTCTCTTTCTCTGCCGTCACAATATGTAAACCCCAGCAAAAATGAGCCAATCAATGGGCATACTCTGGAGTGCGGGTAACTAATACCCGCACTCCAGTTAACGCACTGTGCATGTATATGTATACGATTTAACCCTGACACATTTTCAACAGAAAGGTCTCCAAACTATGATACAAATACGATTTTTTCTATAAATTGATGGCTTGATATCTTGGAACGAAAGTATTCCGTGCTAAATTGTTGATTAGTATCTATATATCCCCTCGTTTAAACAAATTCGTCTTTCACATTCATATTTTGATGAAACAAAAATGTATTTCCTACAAAAGATTTATATTAATTCAACTGTATTATAACGCTATTAATTAGATGTTCTGAATCTTGTTTCTGAGTTGATTTTACTATGCGGCATTACACGACATGACGTCATCAAAGCCACAGAGTAATACACTCTTTTTACTTGCTTGTCCGTATTACATTGATCTACGAAGAGAATATTTACCTAAATACTACTGCTCTTGGTCAAATGTACACAAATTTAAAATGTTAATGAATAACTCACAACAGAATGTTATAAAGAAATTATCTCAATTTATTTACTATGCAACTTTAGCTAGAGAAACAACTGGTAGCTAATTCCAACTAATTTCAAACATTAATTATAATAGTCTTAATATTTATTTCATGACTGTGATATTATATATGTAATATTACTTTTCTCGTATTTAGATCTTTTATGCATTTGTTAATATGTTAATATGTTTATATGTATGTATACACGCCATTATTGTTTATGGCAATAGACATTATGTTTGTGCCTTAATAAAATCTTGAATCTTGAATCATATGTAATACGGATCGTCTTTCTTGCGCTTGATGCTTGCAGAAGATACAGCAAAAATGTCGAAAATAATACTTTTAATGTTATGATAATTGTTTAATTTACGTACATAAATGTACATTATCTATCGTAAATATTTGACTTGACAATTAATTAGGCTTACAAATTGAATAATGTATATCACATTCATCAACAAGAATACCACAAACATATTTAAAAGAAAAAGAATTGACCATATATGTTATCAATATGTAACTGTTTTAAAGACGCATCATGTCTTAGAAAAGAATACTTTTATTTCTTTAGAAGGGCCAATCATGATTGTATTAAATGCTATTTAAAAATGGATTTAAATA